GTCTTCATGCAAAACTAAGATCTCTGAAAAGTATTATTATACTTTAACCTTTGTAATCCAGGAGACGCATAACTCACGTAATCAAACAACTACCTGTGACAGACTCAATCAGGAAAGAGCTCTCCCCATGGGAAATGAAATGTGCACATTTCCAAAACACTGTCAGCACTGGATCTCTTTTCTCACTGTGTCAGAGAATAACTTCCCAACTAAACATAGCAATGAGACTTTAAAGGAGTAAAGCAGCAAGACAAAAGCTGCGTAAGCCCCAATAAGAGTTAATGAATGCACTGAGTTCAAATAAGACTTTACATGCAGCAGAAATAAGTAAGAAAAATAATTCAAATGGTCCATAACTGAGAAATGTAATCATGTGGCTTTTCAAGCACGTGAGCAATTCCATTAATCTGCTTTACTTGCATTAGAGAAACTACTCATACACGTAAACTCAAATATATGATTGTTTCCCTAACAGAAGAATGGCTAATGCAACTAAACGTTGTATGCATGCATTTAAATGTTTCAAGACACTTCATTCAGCACCTTATAAGCTAAAACATTTAAATTTGCTTTTGGTGGAAAATCTGTTCCCTGGATGCAAAACTTTCTCAGAAAGCACCATTTGAATTGTTACACAAAAGTATTTTGCTGAGAGTCAATAGCTGATCATCTAATGAAGGGTTCCAATATAATCAGTCACAACCAACTGAAAGAGCTTGTGTTCTACACGTGTTTAGTATGCTGCAAAAACAATACAAAAAAAGCGTTCTTAAATAAAATCAAGTAATAAATGGGGGTGAACAACAATTCTTTGCTCAGCTCTTAACAGTAAACTGCACTTGCAGAATACAGTTTCGAAGACTAAAAAAGTGACTATTTTCACACACACCCAAAAATTCCTTCACCAACAAGTACTTACTGTTCGGATTGTCACAGGACTCCATTATGCATTTCTTAGCATCTCTGATCATACAATGATTATTAATTGTATTCATTCTGCCTGAAAGTACTGGGTGTTTTGCAGCTTATGTACCATAATCCCGTATTTTATTTTGGGGATGCTGTTATTATTTACTCTGAACAAACAGACATGTCCACACCAGTATCTCTGAAACTAAAATAAAATGTCCACCAGCAAGATGATGTCTGAGATGTCTCCTGTGACAAGCAGTGGCTGAACCTGAGGTCAGTCAGTCGATAATGCGCTGCACCTTATGCTGGGTGAAATGTAAACAGGGAAGATAAATAATAAATTAATTTTATGATAAAAAATGAATTTTATTCACAGCTTCCTTTTCTGTTTTAGCTGTTAAACATGAAGTTTGACAGATGCTGCCTTCAGAGCAGAGCACTGGCTCACCCTGATGCATATTCTGTAGTCACATTTGAGTCAGCATTTGAGAGGACCTGTTGCCATATGGAAAATCAGGGACAATTACTCTAAATAATTACATCAGTTTACTGCTGCCTGTTGCCAAGAGAAACAAGTCCTGTTGGTAATATCCACTTGTGTTGCCAAGTAACTTAATCTGGAGGGGAAACTAAATATGCTCCAGTACTAGCATTTCCCTAACAATAAATATCCTTTCTAACTGATATCATCATGGCTCATAACCACATCTTTGTCCTGGTAATTTCCTAAGGTAATCTCTGCTAAGTTATGGGTTGGTGACCTCAGAGGTACAAGTTATCACACCTCCTTGAGACGTGCTTGGAGATGGTATCCAAGTACAAATAGGGCAGTCTAGGCTTCCTTCCCTAGTCTCTGGGGAGAAAATGGAACTTTTTAAGGCGAGTGAGATTTAACAGACTAAATGAACTGCATGGCAGAAAGCAGATGGTTTTGTATTGATGAGGAGGCCCAGGGGAGATGGTGTTGGCTTTACTAAGCTCTGGAGCTAGAGAAGACAAATCCAGGTTAGGCACTGTCCCACCCAGGCTGCCAGCAGAAAGGGAAGCCAGTCCTGGTTAGCATGTTTAAACTTTTCCTTTGGCAGCAAAGCCTGGCCAGAGCGAGCCTGTTCTGTAAAACGTGTAGGCTGGGATTTTCAGACTACAATGCTGTTTGTATTTGAACTCAGCACAGCTGCAAGTGCGAGTGAGGCCTCTTACTCAGGAGCTTAAAGCAGACAGAAATACTGGCTGGAGTTACCAAGGGAAGACAAACTGGTCCTGGCACCTCCCTCACGCTCCTGCCACAGGCACTTGCGCTGTTCTTCAGCCAGTCCTGCTACGCCTTTCAGGTCATCATCACTCATAAACTTCAAAACCCTGCTGTTTAAGTGCCGTCATCCAAATTGTTATAGACAGCAACTTACTGTTTCTCATTGTGCTTTCCATTTGAATTTCATTCCAGCTAGAAAAGACAGCACCAGAATCCCTCTTTTTGTCCCTCTCAAGTTTATTGCATTGAGCAGGCTTCCCCTCCTCAGCTGCTCACACTGCAATTCTTGTCTTCTGTCTTTAGCTTTCTGAAACCATTGAACACAGCCCTAAAGAAACCACTTCTGCTTTATGCACCACTTCACCGCAGCAAACAACTGCAACGTGGTGACAAGCACTTTCTTGTCTCACTAAAGTCACTATGTGCCATTTTAATTCAACTGTTTCTAAAAAGTGCTTGATAAATTCTAACATATTGTAGCTTCCCCATAGCTAATAACATGAACAGCACTATTCAGATGGATGCCTGACAGGCCCTTTATTTAAGGCTTATATTACACAAAGCACTTTGCAGTCTTAAGTGATTCCTCCCTAATCCAATTGAACTTGTTGATTCAAAACCTACCCTGCAGTCCCTGATGATGGTGACTTGACAGAAACTACAGAGCTTCTTGTGATTTTCTGTTTTCTGTGTGCTGTCACCGATTTGTTTTGCTGTGCTTATGCACTCTCACATGTTGACAGCCTCTAATCAACATCTAGGACCCTGTGGTGGTTGGGGGTATGGGGTGTTTTTCACTATGAAAACCAATCCCATGCAGCTGTCAGAACAGAACCCTCTTTTTTTTTTTGTTCTCTTCTTTTTTTTTGGAAAAAGGTACCACAGAGAATGACTTCACAATGCACGTACAAACTTCCCACCTGTACGAGGAATGCCGATGGCAAGAAAATGAATTCCAGTGTTACAAAGGCCTTATCTTCACCTTTGTTCCAACAGACCAACTTTGTCCATGACATCCTCTGTACATGAAACCCCTAATTCTTCATGCCTCACCAGTATGTTGAATCAGGGTATAAATACTCTCTGATTTGGACAGCTCTTTGGACAGCCCTTCTCATTTCAGATTTTTTTCAGAGGACCCCTTTCTATAATGAGATCTACAGAAGAAGAGAATGTTCTGCTGTATTATATTGTTTACCTTCAAGTATATTTTATAGAATTAATTCTGTGAGGAAAACCGTTCTGTCAGAGCAAATTAACCATTGAATGCTTCCAGATGTATCTTCCCACTGATTATCATTTGTCTCTATTTTTTTAGGTCAAATCCTTAATCTGTATTTTAAAAACTACCTGGCACAAGGAACATTTTCAACCAGGGTGTCTGGAGAAGTCACATTTCCAGTACAGAGCTCCGCCATTCCACTCAAACCATTTTACTTGCATAAACACACGTAGTTTTCTTTAAAGAAATTAACATGTATTAGTGCGCAGGGCACAGCATGTATTGAATCAATTCTTTGTAATACAAATAAGGAAATATATAAGTACATAGAGAAGTCTGTGTAGCTTCTCTTGTACTAATGGAGGTTGTTCCTTTGTCGTCTCGATTCTAATAATGTGTACAAATTGGCATTGACAATATACAGTTATTTGCTTCCTAAAGTCCTAACTTCCTATGTGTTTCCGAAGGTCACAGGGACTCAGCAAACCTGAAATAATCATTTTAATTCCCAGTCTTTTTATTTCACTACAATGCAATTATCTGATAGATTTTTATGTAGACTTATTTACCGGTTTTCTTTTCCTGTCGGGTAAGTATACAGTAACTAAATTAACTTCAATTAGGTAACTGACACCAATAGTTAAAACTTAATGGCATTTTAAAAATTACAGAAGTAATCCAAGCATAAAAATTATTCTTTACGATACCATTTCAGAGCAGTGGCACCAAATCCTTACCATACAATAGCCTATGACTCAGAAGCATTAAACACATCATCACATTTTCCTTCTACCTAAGTTACATATTCCTTGAGTTATATACAGTGTCCTTTTTTTCCCTTTTTATATTTGGACTAAAGCATTTTTAGAAGATAACAAAATACAAAACAGAATATTCAGCATCTTTATAATTAGTGTATTAAATTAGGTCTTTAGTTATACATATGCAACCCTATGGCTTTTAGAAATCAGAATTTTCCCTTTTGTATATGCACACAATGATATGTCTGTCTTGTGTTTCCCTTCTAGCCTTGCCAGTAGAGTATTTTAAAGATGATACACTCTCAGACAAGCCATCATCCCAAGAAGCCCAAAGCACCTTGATATAGAGACCCACTTGAATGTAAGCACACATTTAAATCCAGCATAAGTCTGTGCACTTTTCAGTACCCAGAGAGTCTTAAAGATAAGTGTATGCCTAATTTTTATGCTGAAAGGGGGCTAGAAGCAAGTTGTATCCTCTGAAGGAGCAGAATATTTGCAATACCCCAGTACAGATTAATGATGCTCTTTGAATACAGCAGGAAGAGGAAAGCCTCCATTAACAAAAGTGCAGACCATGAATCAACAAATGCTGGTAACTGTAATAAGCAAGAAAATACTTCAGCTCATGGTGAACCACCATTTTCATCCTGTGCTGCATTTGGCTTTCAGATAATATAGGTTAACTGGCTGCACTGAAGAGAATGACATGCCGTCTTTAACATTACTTGCCTTTTACTGAAGAGGAAGGATATCAGTGTTTTGGGAGAACTCCATGATACATGTCTGTATGATACAACACTGCTAGTGTGAAATTACTAGTTATAATATAATTTGCATGAGAAAAACTTACTTGAAGGCATTGGCATCTCCATGGACCTTGTAGTTGTCTGCACTGATTCTTGAGATAACTCTTGTGACAGCAATGAGAATACCAATATTGACCTGAAGAAGGAACAAGACTTGGTTAGGACAGTGAGTATCGACTCTGTCAGAGGTGCAAACTGCCCTCAGAATGTATTGTACAAATACAACAGAAAATAGGAACTCTCTGTGTTGTATTTATTTGGCAAACGAGGTTTCCAACTTTGGACTGGCATAGCTTGAGTCTTGTCAGTGGATTTCCCTCTTGCTGCAGTGGGTTTTTTCTGCTTCTGCTTTCTTTCCTTCAGGAACAGTCCTTGCCTGTCTAGGATAAGGCTGGATTGATAGATTGCTTCACAGCTAAAGAAGTGCTCAGCATCCCTACTGTACAAATAAATACCTTAATAGTCTACTACCAGCTGACAAATCAGACAGAAACTTCAGTGAGCAGGGCCATGTGTCTGCGTGCTCTTTGGTTTCGTGTTTGCATGCGGACAGACTTCAGAAAGCACTTCCCAGTCAGCAATTCCTGTTTCTTACTGAAGTCTGTTTGCAATTTAAGCACGAGATTATTTTAAAAAAGCAATGAGGAAAAGCCTGAACTCTGCTCTTCTAAAGCCCTGCTCTTTTTGATGTCAGGACCAACGAAATGAAAAGAACTCCCACCAGAAAAGTAGGAAATCTTGAAAAGACTAAGGCTGAAAATGTCTAACAAAAGAGAGTTTGCTCTGGCATCACAGGTGAATAAAGAAGAAAATCTTTACCACTTAAAGGAAATGTGGCAAAGATTGTCTTGCTGTGCAAGGACCTTGGGTTTAAAGAAAAAAAGGGAGAGAACATTAAGGTGAAAGATGCATTTTCCCCTTCCTGTCCGGAGTTACACATCTGCTGCAAAGCTGAGATTTAGCATCAAGTTAAGAACAAGGGTAGACAAAACTATGCTGAACTAAAGAACAAAAAGAGAAGGTTTAAAATCATGCTGTTGCTCAGTTAAAATTCAATCACTGTATCCTATTTTGACACATATATTGTAATTCTCAGGATGAGAGGGTGAATTACAAAATGTCTGACAGCAATGGTTTCATTGGTATGTTTCAACTCTGACCACTCTTAATTTTAGATTTCTAAGGGCAGATCATCACCTGTGTAAAGTAGGAACATATCTGTGATAGTTCATTTCTGCCACAGCTTTTTAGCCTGTTCAAAGAATACCTGACAGCCTTTCAATTACAAGTGCACTTGTTCAGTCAGCTTTACAGAGATGAATGAGAGGTGAAATCAAAGGCCTTGGGATCATTTTCCCTATTCCCACCAAATCATATTTCGTAAATAACTTTTGTAAATTTACTGAGGTGGTAACAAGCATTTTTGAGAAACCCATTTATATGCTAAATATGCACATTAACTGAAGCAGCAAATGAGGAACCTGACCAAGTTGAACTCTCTCTTCCCTCTCTTCTCCAAACTGTCCAATTTTCTGACACATTGACCAAATGACCATCATCATTACTCCAGCTTTCATGGGAATTACACAGAAAATGCCTCTCTATACCCTTAACTTCTTTCCCGACATACTCTCTTTCAGCAGCCTTTTATAGTCTTTTATCCAAAATATCAGTCACTTTATTAGTCACATTTTGACACCTCCTTGTGGATGTCTCACTGACAGTTCAAGTTTACCCTGCCACAGTCCAGAATCCCTTTGTCTGATGACTGCAAACACTCCTGCCAGCTTTACTAAACTCTAATGCTTTCTTCCATTCCCAATTCTTTTTAGATACTCCCAGCTTTTGCTTTCTGCATAGCATTTTTAAAAATACACAAATTATGACTAAATAATGTACATTAAGGTACTCTCCCCAAAAGTGAAGCCTCATTCTTCAACTTCAAAATTTCCTGCATCCCACAAAAACCAATGAAAGTTGTGAATGATCAGCACCAGCACCTGAGCACTCAGCATCTTGTAAATTCTCTCTGTACTGGACATGAAAGCTAAAATCTGGTCATGAAAACAGCACAAGCAGGATAGTCTTGAAGGAGACAAAAATTTGATGGCTTTCTAAAGCACAAAATGTCCAGCATTTCTGGCTGAATTTTAGTTTCTTCATATAAAAGACATTAAATTGAAAGTTAATTTCCTAGGAATTCTGGATGTCCTAAAGTGGAAATTGAAAAAGGCCTAGAGTTTCTCTTGTGCAGTCAGTGTGAATACGTGTCTTTCCAGGGAGCATCAGTAATACATTTAAAGATGAGAAGGAAACATTGTGCTCTCACTGCTGATAAAAACCAATGTACTTGTAAAATTAGCGAGGAACCATTACACTCCAGTACCCAAGTTCTGTAGTTAGATTTCCTGAACTACTTAAAAATTCTGGCGTAGGTGTTTTGAGAAACCACAGTTATCCCATCCAGCCTAAACAAAGAGATTAGCTACAAATGTCTGTCTTTGTTAATGTTTCAGTAAGTAAAGCATGGAGGTATTTCCACTGCTCTTATTAATGGGAAACCAAAACACCGCCACTGAATTGTTCTTCCAGTGATTTTTTTTTGGCATCTGATGTAAATACTTTGCCAGTGATTTGAATGGGAGAGTGCTTAGTTGATGAAACACCCATTGTGCTTTAACCTGTATCAGAATGTTCAAACTAGGAGAATATAAACATTTAGATAAGGGAACTATAAATAGCTGCTGTTTCATACTCTTCTGAAAGCCCACATTACCTGACGGTTGCCGTGCCTAAATTACACAGGAATTTAAGAATACTTTTGTTTGCAGGTACTGGCCACACTCTACTTACAAAAAAAAACCTAGCTCAGAACACCAGTGCTTGTTTCCCAGCTCACAGGATTCCTTTCAAGGCAGCTTATCCAACCCCAGCCACTTGCAGATCTCTGTGAAATCAGCAAGAGCTGCCAGTTCCCATTACTGTGGGGCTTGATCCAACACCCACCAGGGCCCATGGAAAAATCCCAATGACATCAGGGAGCTCTGGCTCACTGTAGTGAGAGCTTCATCTGACTGAAAATTACCAGATCAGGAAGAGAGTTAAATGGGTAAAAAGGACCTCTTTCAAAATCTTCTCTCATCAAAATGTTGAGGGACCAGACACAGTGAGACAGATTCCTTCCTCACTTCGGTTTTCTCTTTTTTTTCTAGAGGTTTCGCCTAGACTTCCTCCAAGTCTCATGAGATTTTTGTTTCTTCTTTAGTACAGTGCAGAAATCCCATGTGTAAAACCCTCCGATGTGGTGTGTTGCATCCTAGCCAAGAAAAGGCTTGGCAGCACAAAGGAGCTATAAACAAGAATAAAACATATTGCTTTAATTAAATCCATTGACCAGCTTTCCTCTAAAACCACAACTATTTTAGGCTCCACTTCAGTTTTGGGCAATGCTACAAGGAATTATAACTGACTCTTCCAATCTAAGGTTTAACATACTTGCTCATGGCGTGAGGCCTTACTGTGACTGCAGTGGTTGCACACCACTGCTGCAAGCTGTTGCAGCTGCAGCCCATTGCTGGGCAGATCAGCAGTTACTGGGTATTCTGCATTTCCAAACACAGCTACTTGATTAAAATAGATCAGTGTCAGAATGATTTTTGAAAAGCCTGATTCCACTTTTAGCTATCCCTGAGCAATTCCAACTACAGATGGAATAGACTAAATTGAGTTATTTTAGACTTCTGTGTACATTAGTTCATATTAATGCATGTAGTGTCAACACCAGTCAGAGCTGAATAGCAGAGCAAAATTTCAAGGTTTGAAATACACAATAATTAATAGAATGTAACAGATCCCTGACTTCTCCTCTTTCCTAATATTAATCCTTAATTTTTAATTTCTTACAGTCTGTCCTCTTGTTCAAAAAAATGTCACATGCTTTCCTGTTAAGAAATTTAATTTTAAAACGAAAGGAATTTAAGTTTAAAACAGTGTAACAGAGGGGTTTAGTAGCTGTGGTCTGTTTATTTATGCTCAAATCCACCACAGCACTGAGCTATATACTTGATTTCAAGGACTCTGAGGAATCATACCGTCTCGGGGCCTTTAAACACTATGGGTCCAATTCTGTCACCCTTCCCTGTGATGTCTAATAAGGGACACAAGTTGTCACTTTTCCATCAGTGGCCTTAGGTGCAGAGTTAGACTCTCAGCATACAGAAGTCTGCAGTGGTACATAAAGGTATGAATAAATATCAGGAGGAAGAGCGCTTACTTTATCAGGTATGATCAGCAAGTATAAGGAGGAGAATTTCTTTTATATATCGAATGTTCATAAGCAAGTACCAACTAAAGTCAGTGATGGCAAGCTCAGCCTGGGCCTCAAGTTCTTTGGAGTCCTATCTGAAGACAGTAGTTACAAATCCCCCACATCATCAAATCCTTACAGTATGCTAATGGAAATCATTTAGCTCCATAAAAATGCTGTTTATCTGTAAGACTTGTAAAACACACCAGACAAATAACTACTTGCAGAGAAAACAACAGAAAGGACTTGTCACTGCAGCCAGGTATCTTCCCCCACAATGGACCATTCACTGCCTGCAGCACGCCCACTGCTCCCTGTACACAGATGCTTTCCACAGAATTTCCTTAATGCTGCCATATCTATGGAAGCAGACCAAGCCAGCAGATGGTTGATAACAAACAAAGCCTTCTGCCAGAGATGTAATGTCTTGTTCCAAACATTCAGGTGCTTTGTCAAGTTTCTTCTTCCTTTGAAGGCATATCCCAGGCCAACTCTGATTGAGCATAGCTTGGCCTTCAAATCAATAGCAACAATTTTTTTGCATAAATGCCTTAAGAGAATGTAGAGGCTTGAGCACTGTGGGTGAGAGAGAGTGATCTTTAAACCTTCAGATGCAGGTAGAAGCCAAAAGACCTACTCATAGAAGGAAATATTTCCTTCATCACATCCCTTGACTCAACGCCCAAGGAAAGAGCACTTTGAGTATGGGAATCCATAAAGGGCTGGGAGGTTCTGTGAATTACTCCCTAGAAAAGTATGTGTGGTTTTTTTCCCAGTCACACTCCTACCACATCATTCTGTTTGAAGGCTCCTTGATGTCTATATTGCCTGTGGCAGGACAAAAGTAGACTGTGTCTGCCTAGTCTCTAGGGAGTGGGAGTTGAAAAGAGGTCCCCCTGTTTTCTTCACAGCATAATCCTTTTTTCTTGGCAGAGAGAAACTGTGGATGGAAGTAGTCAAAACCTGCTTTTTGAGAAGCATTTTCAGAGCTAAACACTAGTTCATGCAACTAGTAGCTGATTTGTTATTTAAAGAGCACAGGCACACACAAAATAGTGTTTAGCTTCCTTATTTCCCTATAGGCACTAGCACATTTTTCAGCTTGCATATTCAATGCCCAGAGAGAATAATTTGTCAGCTAGCTTGCTGCTATTCTGGGCAGAGCTGGGATTACACTATTTAACAAATTGCTCTACATGGATCAACCTTGTGAGATCACTCCTTCTCAAAATATTTGTATCCCTACAAGAATACAGCTTGAACTGCACAAATGCTGTATATCATAAGTGAGAGCCACACAGACAAACCCTTACTTCCACTGGCAAGCAGATACACATGCAAACTGTTGAAGGCTGTGCTCACTCAGGTGAGTAAGCCTTGCACTATTAATCACATATTGTGATTAATACCATGTTTGGAGAGAGCTGGGAAAGACCCGATTGTACTGATTGCATCTCATTTCCTCCTTTGCTGCTAAAGGATGGCCAGAAAGTGAGTGCTAATGTGAGAAGGAGACATTTGAATATTAGGTTATTTTAATTGCTCTCTAATCATCAATATCTAAATATCTTTGAATACAAACTGACATACAGAAAGTACAAGGTACAGGCCAACAAATTTTGTTGCAACAAAGTCCAGAGCTGTTTAACTAGCTCTAATCCAGTGATCAACATTTCTTATTTACACACATATGTTTTCACTTAGGTAAAATACACCTGCCCTTACTGCACAGGGTCTTTCAAGTGTTGCATTAATAATTTAATTAAAATGTTAACATGAGATAATTTCCATCATCATTATAGCAACTGTATTTTTTTTGCAGTATGCTTACTCAGCCTGGCTTTTCAGGGACAGTATCTTGGGTGGAAGATGCTGGACTGGGCTGGGCTGCAGTATAAAAGAGGCTGACTTCACTCTCTGCCAGGAAAAAGCCAGCCAAGAAGCCACCTTTTGCTTGCCAAATAATTATAGAAATATGGTAAATACTAGCTCTCTATGGATAGCTCCCCTTTCTTCCTTTGGCTTGTGAGCATGATTTATGGGGTTTTTCCATGTAATAAAATTTTGGGAAATTTCTATGTGCTTCCATTGAAATCCTAGCTTTCTTAAGGAAATGCAAGGTACAATCAGTGGCTCCTCTTGATGCTCCTCCATGTAAGTAGTCAGGATCTGACCTTCCTTAAACACCACAGCAGGCACACTCTGGTCTAGATTTGGGCTCATGCCTTTAAAATCTAAGCAAAGCTTTAAAGGCAACCAGTGAGTCTTTTCCATGTTCATATTGTCACTCTGACATTATAACCTGCAGCAAAAATTGTAGACGGCCTGATCAATTAAAGCATTGGAAACAGTGCTGAAGAGGAATAATCTCCCATTTAATCCCTGCAAACACCACTGGCTCCTTAGGTAATCACTGTGATTAGGCTAAAACTCACTGTATTTTAACGTGTGGGCATAATTAAACCGCTGTAGAGCCTTCATGTATTAGCACTGAAGCCATGAACCTGCACCCTCCCCTGGAAAGATGATGTTCATTATAGGTGGCAGAGGCATTTGTGGCAGCCACCTGACCCCAGCAAACTCACCTTCACAGCCCTCCTTGCTCAGCAGGACAAACTGCTGTACCTGACATTGAATCCAAAATCAGAGCGCAAATTCTTTATCACTGTAACAAGACAGGTCTGGAGGAGGCTTGTTACCTCCCCCAGAGCTCACCCCCAAGGTGACAACTCCTTTTTAACCACTGTTTTAACCCATTCCTGCTAGCTGCTGACTGCTTGCAAACTGCAGATGAGCATCTCTACTGAGAGCACTTGCAAAAGCTTCCAACACCAGGGAGGTGGAATTGGCCTTTCAGCTTTTACTGGTGTATATGAAACACAAGCCACAGAGTTTGTTCGTTTGAGGATCTTTCAGAGAATTATTAAAAAGCCCCATATTACTTGGTTCCACACAGTTATTGATGTCCCCAACAGGACTTTTTAACAAGAGGGCTGTCCCAGTATTTTAGGTTGTATTTTTGTCTTGGGATAGTGTGAGAATTAATATGTATATACTAATACACTACTGTGAACACCACAAAAAATTGGGTGAGGAACAAAGTAATTTTGGACCATTCACCTCTGCTGTGTCACTGGCCTGGCATCAGACCTTCAATAAGTTCTGCTGTGAGGCTCACACAGACATGGAACAAGGAAGCAGCAGCTATGGTTTTACCTACCAGAATTACAAACAACGCTGGTGCCACAAAAGCCCAGATTGCTCCATTCTCTAGTGAAAGCCAGCAGCTGCAGAGAAAAATTAGAATGATTTTAGATGGAACACATGGTCAATTAATTAGTAATGCTCTTAATTAAAAGGAAAAAAAAAAGCCTAAGAGAGCATGCAAGAAGACTGATGAATTTTAAAAGCAAGAAACCAGAGCATCAGTAAGAAGCTGCCTTTCCCTTCACACAGGGAATCTGAGGCAGGATCTCACTTTGATTTGGATCTTGCAGAGTCAGTGACAGCTATCTGCCCCAGCACGCCTTCAAATTGCGTTAGGGGCGGAAAGCTGGGAAGAAGGGAAACATTTTATTTGCTATTCATTGTTCCTGTACCCTGTATCACAGGCAGTGATTTCAGTGCCGTGAGCACCGTCATTGTAGCAAGAGACAAAGTGAAGCCCTCTGTGCCCTGCCTGGCTGGTGGCGAGGAAGAGGCTGGGAAACATGCTGTCAGCTTCACAAGTCTTTCTTGCAGCAGTGATGACGTAAGCTAGTTTACCACACACAAAATAACCCTTGCTCCAAATCTTTTGCTTATATTATGGTAGGAAAAAAACCACCTGTGGTGGGTTTGGTTTTTTTTTTTTTTTCAGATAAATTAGAAAGGAGCTTAACTAATTATCAAATTTTTTAACACTATGTGTTTAGGTCTTCAGGTGTTTAACTTCAGTGTTCTTCCAAAGATTATCTTCAATCAAAGGCTACTGCCATCCTATTAGAAGTGTTCCGGCCTGCGCTTTCCTCTGTGCGGGAGGTAGCAGGGTGCTCATGGTGGGAGGCCTGACACCTCTGCAGCAAGAGGGAAAAATAGGCAAAGCATCTCAGGAGCTTTTGTGCATCATCTCAGCAGTGAAAAGCAGACCCGAGGTTTCTAGGTCTAAGAATATGCCTATACAAGAATCGTTCTTTGCAGGCTGCCTGACCAGTTCCTCAGCAGGATCTTGCAGAACTAGTTTAACTACAGGGCCCTAGTTTAACTACAGGGTTTTCTCCCCATCAGATTTTTCATCCTTACTGCACCCAGGGTGAAGACATTTCCATACTCACTTGCCACTTTCTCCATAGCTGTCTAGGGATGCTGATGTAGAAATTACACAAATCACCAGTGGGCAGCCTGCAAAAAAGGCAAAGTCAGGGGCAATATTAGTAACAAAAGTACATCTTCAGTGAACCCTGCAAGGTCAGCTAAATTTCGTATGGGTGACAGAACAGCTCAGAGTAATTTCAGAATTAAGTCTAACTTGACATCTTCCTGCAGCTGATACATGTTTTAATCAATTAATGTCAGAAAAAATGACTTTTCAATAAAGCACTAGTTTAACAGTTAAAATGAATTACTGCTAATTTCACTGAGATTCATAGTCCTTTTCCTGCCTGTTTTTTTGCTCAGGTAATTTCTGTCTCTTGCTATTCAAGCAGCGATATCCTGTGAAGCAATAGCACACTTATTTTAGCCACTTTCCCACAAATAAGCACACCTTGCTCAAGAATTCAAAACTGTCTAGAAAACAAAGTTGAGTTTCTCCCATGGGTGCATGGCTAGCAGGTGGGAGGACAGAAACGATGACATTTAGTTACCTAGAGCATCACATACAGCAGCAGTAGATGCTTAAGAAAAGACAGAAGCCAATTCACATCCCACTCAGATGCCCAACAAAGACTTACTTTAACATAAATATGAAATAGCTCTACAAGATTTCAGTGTTTAAACTAGGCTGTATTTCCAGGTGGGTTTTGACAGTTCCCATGTGCTGCATCCTTGGAGGTGGAGCAGTGCTTTACAGGATCACACCCCAATTACTCAAAGGCAGACAGACAGCTGCAGCCCTACTGCTGGGGGGCTGCATGCCTCTGGCCCCCGGCTCTGCGGTATCCTGTCGTGCCACTTCAGCACGGCTTTCCTGGCCAGGAGCTCAAAAGGAAGCGAGGTTTTTCTTGCCAACAGTTCTGATTATAGTAAAACCTCATCCTTTTAAACATTAAATGATTGTCTGTTAATTCCTGTATGATTTAATAAAATGTGAAGTTTGGCCTTTTATCATCTAACAGAATTTAATACCCAGGTCCCAGAGAGAGTATTAGATATGATAGGTTGTTTTGATTTTCTTTTGAATTCTTCAGGTTTTCTGCATGAGGCTTTTATAAAATTCTCTGACTAGCAATTTCTGCTTAATCTTACCAATATCATCCTCACAAAATTCTGTAAAGTGTTCCTGTACTGGCAGAACTATAATTTTTAGAGAAATATTTTCATTCTTTAATGACTGTGGCTAAAAGCACCTTGTATTTATAAATAGGAAGGATACTCAGTAGTTTAGAAGCAACATCTACAGGCATTGCTTACGTCTTGGACTCCAAAATCCATTCTGCAGGATTAAGTTTAATATCTCCATGAACTTGATTCTGCTCTCCCATGCCTGTCCAAATCGGGAATAACCCCTTAGAAGTAATACTTATGTAAGACCTAAGCAAAGGCAAGATTTTTTACAAGCTCATTTGTCTATTTAAGAGGAAATTCCTACACATATCTGAACAGAATCAAGACTACATTCAACAGAGCAATTAAGCACAGACATAAGCTTATCTGCTGAAACTCAGTCTGCCCTGGGTGTGAGAGCTACCTGGATGAAAGGTCCCATGAGTCTGTCCACATTCCCAATCACGTCTTCGGTTGCCAGTTGTTGATTGGCACTCTTTGACTTCTGGTTCAAGCTGTCTTCCCAGAGCAGGGAATTTGTCACACAAGCAAAAATACCTGTGCCCAACTAACTCTGCTCTGTACTTCCAGTCTGCCTGCTTTTTTCCCCCAAGTCACATGCTGGCTATTCAAAGGATTTATCATGACATATCAATTTTAAGTGGCAGTGAAGAAGAAAATTAAATACAGAGTTCCTTTGGAAGATAATAAAACTTATGCAGATGAAACACAGAGCTGTCATCTGCACAAAAAAGAGCTGCTAATTCAGTGAGAATAAAATGGTCTGCAGCCTATAGTACAGTTTGCCTTTTCTTTGCATTAACAAGATATTAAATGGATAATGGCAGTGGAGGAAGAATCAAGGTTTTGTAACAGTGAAATTGGAGTATTTTTCCTTTAAGAAACAACCACCCAATAAATTCCATAAAGGTTGAAAAAATACATTTAGCCTAAGGGGATCATAATATTTCATCTGGACTCAGGAATTCATATGGATTATATATTACACACAAATGTAAGTGTGTTTGCTCAAACTTTTGTCAGTAATAATTACGCAAGAGCACTGAAATTTAGTCTACACCCATAATAGGTAATGTTAAAGTGTTGTGCTGACACTGGTTATCATCCAAGGAAGAGTTATGGTTATGGACTTTTACAGTATCTGAATGTTTTCTCAGCAGATGCTACAAACGTGCTCACCGATCCTACCTCAAATCTCTAAATTTATGATGCAACAGACCATGCTTTCCAGAACACAGATGAAAATGTTCTAGCACACCTTTCTGGCAGCTGATCTGTGGCACTGGTGTCATCCATGTCTCTGCAGCCCTAGAGCAATACAGCATCACATTTAAATGGGGCAGATCAACCCACATGGAGGCACGTGATGCTGCAGCTCAAGTTCTCCAGGTCCCTAGGCCAGCTAATTTTAAGCTGCCTCCCAAACTCAGCATCAAAGTACAGCCTGCAGAGCAGGCATAAACTCTTAATACCTGGCACAGGAAACCAAATAACACAATCCTTGCTTAGACAAAATTCTCCAAGAACTCAGCCCAAATACATTCAGTATGGTGAAGTCTAAAATGAATGTCAGCTACTTCCTGTTTTCAGCATTAAACGTCACATCTAATCCATTTGCTTTATGTTTCTGAGGCACTAATGATAAACGAAATTGAAAATGCCTGTAAATCTGAATGTTATATTTTGAAAGCTTCTGCATCTTCTATACATAGCAAAACCCCAGACAGGCCATAGAGACTCTGTGGCAGACAATTCAAAGCAATTTTAGGACATTAATTCTAAAAGGCTAAATATGTCATTTATAGAGAAAGATTAAGCATTAGACACAGATGGAAGTATATTTCCTTCCAATACTGAAAAGATCTACTTTGCCTCATGGAGGAAAGTATATTCTCCAGTTTGTTTTATAGAAGTTAATTTCCTATGATTTTCTTCTGCTGTGTTATGTTGTACCCATGCAGAAGTCTGGAACTACACCAAGCAACAGCAAATAAAGAAACGTAGCTCTTTTTGACAGCTCAGAACAAAATCTTCATTCTGAGGCAGTCTCTATAGGAAAGGAGATTGTCTGAAATAGGAAAACATGTTAAGGCCAAAGTGCCACAGCAAATGCTCCAGTATCACAAACTCTTATCATCAGTATCCTACAGATGGGTGGGTGGGAAAAGTTTTGCTACAATAATCTGTGTGTATTATGCTGAATCACCAAGGCAACAAAGTATTTTTTTTCCCCTCAATCAATCTCAAGGTGGTTTTAAAGGTATGATATTATCACCTTCCTCAAATTGCTCTTCTTTTGAATTCCTGACAACTGCCGTCTTTGAGGTAATTTTAGCACCCTTGGGACTAAAGATAATAAACAGGAACTTCAATCAACTCTGCACATTTGCTATCCTGCCTCTCTGATTACTGTTAAATTCATTTTACAGGAGTAGTATCTCTCCAAGGATCAGTGATACTCAGTGCAGAGTTCCTTGCCTTATCTCCTCTCATTGCCTCGAGTTTCAACTTGTCATTAATACAGAGGATGGAAGCTTTTACACATGTACCTACCCCCAGTGCCTCTGCTTAAATAAGAATTATGAGTCTGGGATTTTAAGTTAAGGACTGGGGTCTGCAATTATTCCAGGACCCATGAGATTGCAAAAGTCAAAAGCATTCACACTTCAAAAAGCTAAGAATGAAGAAATGAACTGTCTGTTTTGACTAACATGAAATGCAACATCCTTACCTTCAACTTCTTTCAACCATCTGGTCAGCTAAGCCAAAGTGTAAGAAAACATCAATTTTTATTAGGTACTGGAAAATATATATCTATTATGGTCTCAGGATGGTACAACAATGCTCAGCTTTCTTTTGACAGTTGTATTCAATGCAAACTTACCCTCATTTTAAGGCCAAACAAAGTAATTTTAGGATAAAGCATTTTTAGCCTTTTCCCCCAGCCTTGCAAGACTTGTGTTTAGATGTGGGAAGTTTAGCAATAGATATAACTTCTCACTATTGTCCTTTCATCAAGTTCATGAAGGGACAGCCCAAACGACCCCACAGAAAACGAGCACACACTGCTGCTGAATGCAATACTGACACCTGACCTCTAATTAAACGTTCATAATCATATTCAGTGCCAGTATGCTAACAAAAGAGAAAGTTGGGAGCTGACTAACCTGGGTGTCCTTTTAAGCATTTAAGTAAGGAGCGCTGCTGGCTGGATCTCTCTAAACCCATCATTGTTTAGCAACATCTATTACCAACTGATGAGCATTATACTTGCATTCTAGCCAGTGAGCTGCGGTGCTGTTGACTGAAAGTTGCCCTGATACTTGTCAAGAGATAAACAAGCTGGAATGGAGTTGCCTCGTTACATTACGTCAGTGATGGTTAGACGCACTTGCAGCAATAGCACAATGTCAGATATGATTAAGGAAATTCAAGATTTTAATTCCAATGTAAATACTTGGAGCTATATGGAAAAAATAAAGCAATACAAACTGCTTTCCCAGTGACGTGGTAGATTTACTGGATTTCAGTAAATTTTTTTTTCCTAGTCCTTGTAAGAATATTCATTGGAATGTACTTTCAAAAATTAAAATATTTGGCAAAAAAAGATATTATGCAAAGTTTACACAGAGAAGTGTATTACTGTTACATGGATGATGTCTTCCACTACCTGTCCAAACAGTAGCTTTGCTGTATTTCAGAAACAGAGCTTGTCACCGGGTTTCTTACACAATCCTTGCCAAGAGCAGCATTGCTACAACTGATACAGAAACTTCTGCTGCTGGTACCTCCTGTATTTTGCTCCATACATCTACTGTTGGGCCTGTGGCATTTTCCGCCAAAGCATTATTCAAAATACCACTGAAGAGACTTTTTAGTAACCACATTTAACATCCCATTGGATTATGCATATATAGGCTATGTACACATTGTGCTAATTACTACTAATTGAGTGGTAGCAATCATATTGCAATAAAAAGACGCAAAATGCAACATTTAGTACTAGTCATATCTCAGTCAGATGCCGTGTTTATCCTTGTGCCTTCTAAATCACTTTGTAGATTGCTGCCATTTTACACTAAATAAACCTTACACAAAATGTCAGGAAAAAAAGTGTAAAGGTGCATTGCAGCACATCTAAATCATTAATTTATTTTCATAAGGTAATTAATGATTGATTATAAATTGAGTTAATTAAATCATCTGCTATACGCAAATACCCCAATGAATTAAACGCTAGTTCCTAATTATTTTATAAACTGTTGTGTCTTTTTACATAACATTTCTGAAGGAGAAAGAGTTCTCAGGGTCTTATGAGAACGTTTTCTTTAGTTTGAGCCACTTAGATTTGTATTCCATGAGCTCTGGATTAAATAAATCCACAAGAAACCTCTATCACATCAGCAGGTTTATCTACATTTAGCACTCAATCTAAAAGAATCTACAAACCTCCAATGTCTTTAACCCTCTGCCTCTCTGGGTTCTCTTACTTTTAGGTCTGTGTGCATGCAAGAGATGAATTATTCCACTTAGCCTGCTTTGAGTAGTGGTTTTGGAGGAAAAAAAAGGAAAAACAGAAGGGGGAGATATTTTACCCAAGTCTACTGAAAACTCAGCCAAACAGCTTTCAACTGCTTTCAGCACCCGAAGCTTTAAGGTGCATATTGTTGTGATGCAAACTGGCCATTCCTTAAGAGTAACCAGGATAAGGACATATGTATGTGATACTCCTGAACTTGTCACAGAGAAACAGTGAGGGCACAGAAGAAAGCTTCTCAGTGTAGCAGATACGTTCACCAGAAGAACGTATCAAATTGCCCTTATAACTTCCAAGAAGATTTCAAACCCAAAGAGAAATGATGTACAGAATAAAAATGTCATATTCAAAAACAGGACAAGGAGGCAGCTGTTGAAATATATATGTATGTGTATATATATTTATCTAAAAATGTAAACAGCATTAGTGTCACTCAGATCTGCAAGGTGCCAATTGATATTAAATATTCCACTATGACAGCAGTAGGTCTGTATTATTGGTATAATTGGGTTTTATCTTCAAAATTAATTTGTGGGAAGAAAGATAATGCATGTTTTAATGTATTTTGAAATTACCTGTAATTACATAGATACTCCTTTGCTATCTTTTCACATCTCTCCTTTTGACTCCATGTATGAGGTTTTCTTCTAAACGTGGGGTTTGTCAAGCATCACAGCTGTACTTCAGGACAGTAATTGCAAGCTGACTTCCATGTGTTGTGAAGAGTTTGGAACAAAATACTCAGTTTCGACTCCTCAGTAAGTATACAGGTTATGCTTTCATTACTGCATTTAAAAAGCTGTGAATTGCTATCTGTGAGATTCCTGTGTCATAGTGCTACTTTTTTATTCTTAATCATAACTCCGAGGCTCTGTGCAGCTTTTTTCATCTGATGATTTCAAGGCACAAAACATCAACCTATGAAGTCTTATGCTACCCCTGTGCTACTGCGCTGATTTTTTATGTACGATTTGCAGAATACTAGAATAAGCCAGTGTAGTGAGTGAGAACCAAAAAAGGAACGCGCCAGTGCAGTAAGACCTCCCTCCCACACTCCTGCTATTGATTTAGTAATTAAGGATCTGATCTGGCCTAGTGAGGTCATGGAATTTACTGCAGTGGAATTAGGTTTAGAGGCTATAAACTTTAAATTCTGATTATAGTCAGAAAAATTACACATTTTCTTATCCAACAGACCTACTCTCAATAAGGCTAACTATGGTCATAAGATGACAATTTTACACATGCTTCTGAATATAATCTTGTCCTACTGTAAGAAGACTTATACCAAGCAGCTAATAAATGCTTACCCCATCCAATTCCATAATAATATAAGTGCTTGCTCTCTTCTGACCCAAATACTTTGATCACCATACTGTAAAGATGAAATCCTTCCACCAGCATCCATGCAAAAGCACTCAGGAAGAAAAAATGAAGGAGAATGGCCAAGATCTTGCAAGGCACCTGAATTAAGAACAAAAGTTAGTATGTTACTTCTTTGTAATGCAGTCACTTTTATTTTTTTTTCTATATACATTTACATGGTAAATGTTAAATCTCTGGAGTAGAACAGGCTTAAAAACAAAGCACTTGAGCATTTCTTTTTTCTAGACTATTTTCAGGTAGCTTCAGAGTAACACAACCTTTTAGCTTTAAACAAAAAAAACAAACAACACAAACCACCCCAAAACCATTGCCAACCGTGGTGTGGAAATCCAAGCTGGTTGTTATTTATAATTGTAGGAGCAATACTCCTACTATAGTCTACAAAAAATTTTAGAATTCAAAACTGAAGGGTCAACATCGTGTTGCTAAGCCTGTAGCAAATACAGCAAAGCAGGAAAGTCAAAGAAGTAGGGATACAGGCATTGTCCTGTACCTTGCTCCCTGCTCTGTGGCATAGTTCATGCCTTGTTTTCTAAAAGGAACTGTAGAAAGTCTATGGATCAGTTAAGCTTGAGCAAAATGGAGATATTTTAAAATGAGGTACCATGTTAAACCTGCTATTTAGTTACACCTTGCCATGTGGTTTTCCTACTTCGTTGTTTACATCAAACATAAGGTAACACATAAATTAAATCTCATTGTACTCCCGTGTCTGTCTGTCCTGGTTAAAAAGTCTGTAAAAGTGTCATATGCTCTTCCACCAACAATACAGACATTTCAAGAAATGCTAGCAAACTTTCATTGGTTCTTGAGCCCTAATTGCTCAATAGTAGGTATCTAGTTTGCCCCCGTTTGAATTCCCATTTTCTCAGTTTGATGTACCAGCCTTATATGAAGTCATATTTGGCAAGAATACATCTAGTGATTAAGACTAAGAACTCAAAGATTTCAGATAATTTAAATACTCCTTGATTGTCCTTTATTTGTGCTATCAAGATTCTGGAAATAAGAGCTAATAGAAAAGTTAAAGCAAAAGAATAATACCACCTAGAAAGTGAGCCCACCTGGTGTAAACTAGACCATTTCAATTTAAACTGTAACATACGTTTTGAAGTGCCCCAAAAGAGAAGAACGCCACGACTAAGGCAATGCAGCAAGAAGTAAAAACATCCCCTTGAGTCCTTTTCACACCCACCTCAGTGCTTACTGTGAGCTACAGATAATGCAGTCTGGGCTTAAAACCTGGCTTTTTAGTAAGTTGCTCTTTACAGAGATCTTTACTTTTTTCTCTAAGTCTCCTATCAGCCTACTTGACAAGAACAGGAAAAACTAATCCTTTCTTCTTCCCCACTCCTCAAGTATTCACACAGCACACTCTCCCTGCTAATTGCTTTTCCAGGATGTCTCACCACAAGTGGTTTTGCTCATCGTGCAGTAATTGAACAGATGTGAGTGCCAATGATCTTACCACAAGATAACCTTGTTTGGTTTGTTTTCAGTTAAGGCACATTTTAAACACGCTCTTGGAACAAGTCCCAGCTATATGTGTTTCTCATCTTGCAGCATACTGATGACGGTCATTCTGTTTGGTGGCTGTAACATCCCTTCTGTGACACCTACAGAATTTCAGAGGGGTTGCTTGCATGCCGTCCATGCAAACAGGAAGACCCTTTCTTTCCCCCCTCCAGCATTTCCCTTCCTTGTCAAGTCACAGTCAGGTATCCAGGCAGATGCAGTCTGTGTGCTGAGGAAGCATTACCAGTATGAATCAGTTTGCTGGCCTTCTGCTACACTGGTCTTCAGATGTTAATCATCAGTTCCCTTTGTTGCTTTAGTTTAGCTGCCGTGTGCTAGCATTTTATTCTTTTTTGTTGATGGCTTGGGATTTTGTGTACTAATGAAAATTAAAATGTTGGGACTTGCTCATCTAACAAAAATTAAAGCTTTCCCATAGCTTCCCACTGGTAGTCAGCTAGTTCTGTGCTACTGCAAGGACATTCTAATGCAAATCCACTGTAACTAAATGTATTAAAAAGCAATAACTTTGGTTTTAATTCATGTATGTGAGATCTGTAAGTGTTGTAGTATTTTGCAGTTTTTGGTGACATATAACTAAACCAGATTTGCTTATTGAAAAAAAATGTAAAAAACCTTTCCTGTTAATTTTATAAGGCTCTGATATCCATTTTAATGCCTTTTGATTTGTACTAGAAGATTATTCCATGAAAATATAAATGCAACATAAAGCTGACTTACAAGCTAGTTCTGTCAAATAGATACTTTCCAATTTTTAGGTAGCCAAACAATAGGAATTGCAAAACAGCAGAAAAATAAAACACTGTGTAGTAGGAGACTGTCCTATAAATAATTTTGTATAATAGAGATTTCCAGATTTTTTTTACAGAAGATCCATAGCAAAGGTGCTACTCATTCTGTATTTGTGCCTTAATTACTTTGAAGATATTCTTAAATGACAGGATTGCCTTCTTGAAAAAGGCATTGAAAAGATGAGATTTTACATATTACAAATACGCAGAGCTCCCTTGCTGTGTCATATGATGCACACTACTTTTAGCAGACTGCCTGTAAAAAGACAGATCTCATTACTGTTACTCTTACATCTGACTACTACTGAGTCTGTGGAAATAGAAAAATCAGTCCAGCCAGCAGCAAGGCACATCATGTTACAGTTGTTGAGAAAGTAAAGCAGACTCTCAGAAAAGCCTCTCAGAAAATAGGAGTCACTTGTTTACTGAGGACAGTCTTAAAACAGATAGGTAAATTTGCATACATTCAACTTCTAATAGTGTTCTCAAGTGGCAATCTTACTGCATTATACAGAACCCTTCTGAAAATGCCCTTCCCTGCAATCTATATGCTGCCTAGATACAATCTTGAATTTATGCATGCACATATCATAAACAAAAGTAGCTCACTTCATCTCCCTATTTCAAAGTAGTTTAAGCAATGCAATGCAGGAGTACTGAGTGAGAAACAGCTCAATACACTGATGCAGAACTTCAAATAGTGGACACATTTTCTAGTTGTGCTGGAAAAACCAATGCTGCCTAACACATTCTACTTCAATTTCCATTTTCCTATGTCTAAATAATACTTTCTCCCACAAACATGCACTCAGGTCTTTGGAAGGCTTTATTAGCCTGAAGAAATGTTGATCATTAATTATTTTAAAAAATGGACAAGTCTGTTTAGCATTCTGTTAAAAACAGTAGACTCTCTAATCTATAGCAGAGAGTAACTAGGCAGCAAAACCTTCTGAAGAAAGAAATCCATCTGATGCTGAAAGTCTAAGGGAAGTCGTAAGACTGGCACATGGACAGCAAATATATCTTAGGGACTTGTCAGTGTAGGAAGAAAATGCTGTGTGTGAAGAGACTTGCTTTGTCTAGTAAGAAGATACTGTAGTTTCAGGAATAATTGCCTTCCTGGAATATACCATGATCATTTAGGACTACTGGGTTAGCACTAATGATGTTAGGTATCAAAGGCCAGCTTTCAAAAATAAAAAGGGTTTGGATGTATTATAAGGACAAAATTCCTATTTGTGGCTATAAGAGTTTTGTGGTTAAAAATGACTCCTACTCTACAAAAGGAAAATTGCTGCAATATAAATTCTAAGTTATTAAATAATACATTTGAAATTACCAGCGGAACGCTGTATACCGTATCTGGAATCAAAAACTAAATAACCCTAGAGATGGTGATGGGAAACAATGGAGCTTCTAAAGGCAGTGATGCAAGAAAGTGATACCAGTTCAGGGCCTGTTTCCACAGTGCTGTTCCCTGTTTCATTGTATCTCCTCACACAAACTGGTACCACTTGTCCTCTTCTCAAGCAAGGGCACTTATATCAGTTTAGCACTAGATACACTAGAAGTCTCTTTGGCAGAAGCAGAATACTAACAAATTTACACCTTCTAGTGTAAATACAGCCTCCCTATTTTTGTAAAATACCATTTAGCAGTCCAATTAAAGCAGCATTTAAAGGTATTAAAAAGCAGCATTTAAAGGTATTAAAACTGATGTCAGAACTAGTGAGAACAGAGCATGCAGAAGGTAAGGACATGAGACTAATAAAAGGATGAATCACAAGATCCCTGATCCCAAGATGTTAAAACAATAAAAAGTGTAGCAGACAGTATGTAGCTCATTCTTTTCAGCTTTAAGATCTTTACAGTATTGTGGCCTACAATTACTTCTGTTACAGGAGAGAGGGCTGAAATATCCATGGAGTCTGGTTTTGAAGTGTTTCACTTAGTACACAATTTTTATAACCCCTTGGGTCCAAGTTTTCTGCAGACAAGTGTTGCACTTCAGAAAGCTTGTGCTATAAAACAAGTCTTGCTTTCTGGGTGCTGCTGTTTCAATTTAACTTTAAATTTAATTTTACTTTCAATTTAAGTAAGTCTTGAATAGGTTTAAGATAAATTAAAATATGCACCTATTAAACTGTAACTTCAATGTATGTGAGCATTCCACTAGCTTAACTAAACAAGCAGGACATCTCTGTGTGGACAAGGGATATGATAAATGTAAGTGGACACTGGGACATATCTCTGGGGAACATGGGCTCCACCTACACCCAACTAGTATTTCACAGTATTTTAGAAGACTGGAGGTGATGCAGGCCCTGAAAAAGTGTGAAGTGGCTTTTACATGTTATCTGAAGTGACTGATGAAAAAAGAAAACCTGAGAATAAAACACCCTGTTATGCTAAGTGAATGTTTTCTTGCCCTCAAGTCTATGTACTTTCTAAACAGATTTAGCTCTATACTTGGAGAGGATTATTTTAATGCCTGGTTTCCATTGTCTTCAGTTTCAAGTAGTATCTTTTGCTGCTCTCCATTGTCTCCATTTCATTTCCATATAAACCATTCCCTAGCATTTTCTCCCTTGCACATGATCTTACTCATTCAGGGCCTACCTGAATGTTAAATAGCAAAAAAGCATGAACTTAGTTCTACAAAGTGCTTTTAGATCGTCATGTAAAAATAGCCTATGTAAAACCAGCCATTACTGTTATTTATAAACATAACAGAAGCTCAAGGGATCCGATCTGAGCTGAAAATAAATTTAAGGACTTGTATTGGCAAAATGAAGAGTATGCAAACCTCATTTATTGTACTGATAATAAAAAGAAACAAAAATAATGGAAACTGCTCACTGTTTGCGAAAAGTCAGATGGAGCAATAGCTGGTCACCAAAGGAGCCAGGTTTTGATCATTACAAAAACAAGCACCCTGGAAGATTATTTTAAAATCAGGTTTTCTTTCTTCTTTTTGCAGGTGGGACTTTCCATCAACAGACCTTATGTTACTTTAAATAACATTTTTTAAACATAACGGTGGAAACAAACTGGATTTACTAGTACGTAATACTGTTAGCATGGCATATTTGTCTTAATCTAACCCAGCTGGTTGAGATGCCAGTTTTAATGGTACTCTGAATAAGGAATTCCCACCACATCCATAAAATCAATCTGTAATTTCAAGTTCTGATATATGTGATCTATACATGCATAGTGTTTCAGTACCACATAAGCAACAGTAAGGTATTTGTCATTTGTTCAAATGGTTGCCTTAGATGCCAAGAGAAGCATATACACTTTTTACAGTACTGAGGATCTCAGATTAAACTCTTACATGGAAGTAATGCTCTGGCTAATTAAGCAGTAGTTCCTATTACCTTTCTCACTGACTCAAATAAACATGAATGATATTTTAAAATAATCTACATCTCTAGAGCAGAGATCATGATAACAGATCTGCTCTTCAGAAAAACAGCGTATTCTACCACACAAAATTTCATGTACAAAAACCACAAAGGCTTTCTGGTTTGCTCTCCAAGAAAGCAAAATAAATTGCCACAGTTACATCAGGAAGCTCATTACCTTCCAACAAGAGTAAGATAACTTTTTAATGTGGAAAAAAAAAGGCAAACTGCACCATAGCAGAGAACAATTAAAAAAAACCTACACGTACCCCTCCCCACACCAAACCAAAAACTGTAACAAAAATACAAATACCCTACCTAAATACAAAATTCATACTATTTTCTTCACTGTAGGGATTTTGATGGTGATATGATGGGTGTGTATCTCTTTCAGTTGCAAACATCCAGACATGGCCAGATACCATGATAACACTATTTGGCTGCACAGAAGGCTGTATCCAGTGTTGCAGGATATAATTTTTGGCTAAGACACATTAAAAATAGGAGATGTCACTTGCAAGACAATTTCTTGCATGTGGCATGAGGCATTCGTTCCATGAAGATGCCTTGCAAAACCGACTATCGTTCTTTTTAGGACTTACTGTTCCAGGGCTGAACTGAAAGCTGGTGAGAAGCAGGATCTGAGCCACCAAGACAGCAAAGGAGAGGTTAGCATGGATATGATAGCGCTGGTTGCGGATGGTGCTGACAGACCTAGCAGAAGATAGAACGATACATGAATAAAATAATATTCAAGAAGCACAAATGTATTTATGAGTTATCAGCAAGCATTTTTATTGGCTTTTGGTCCTTCATTTTGGTGGAGGTTATCGTGATGTCTTCTGAGCACACCTTCCACCAGGATGGACTGGTACCTAACAGGTTTATTTGATTCCGTGATACTCTCCTGCCATTCTAAAGACAGCAGAAAGCCTGATTTACATGTTAATTAGCTCTGCTGATGACTTGTGATAGATACTAACAAAGGGCTTGATCCTGAATGGTGCTGTACTGTCAAGGAAGTCAGATATACACCTCACAGAAAGAACAGTCTCGCACCATCTAGTCCATACTGTGCCAAAGTTTCTGGTTTTATTTTGTTGGTATTTGCCTGCATTAAAAATAAGGGAATGTGAAAAGACATTGGTTACAATTACGACTTTACTATTATCAGCTTCTGAGCACAGGAACTATCGCTGCTGATGCAGATGGGCAGTGCCTATCTTGACAGAGACCTGACCTTGATTACAACATCATGTGCACATATCTCTCTTGGCTTCGCAAAAAGCAGCTGGAAAGCTGACAAGAACATGCTTTCCTGGGAGCCTTCTGAGCTCATGTTTCTGTTCTCATCCAGAAATGGGAAGTGGAAAACAAACAAAAATATTTATCTGAACATTATGGGCCTTTTGCATAATTTTATTCTTCACTTTAAAAAAATACAGTACTAGTGATAACAGGTTTTCTATTTCAATCCATACTGCCTGCCAGGCCCTACCATGAGCTTCCATCATTCCAGAAGACCTGGGCTGTTTGGCTGTGTGAACAGCAAGCAGTACTTCCTCCACACAACAGTACATGCTCCCATCTTTTTGTTGTATCACACTGGATAGTGATGACTTTTGCAACCACTGGAGACACGTCGTGCATGTCCCCTGCAGCAGGGTGACACAGGCTGGACAGTGCAGACAGTTGTGTTCTGTCAGCGTAGCTCTTCCAGCACAACTGTAGCCAGTTCTCCATTAGAAGGGAGTAAAGAGGAAAACAACAAGAAGTACTGATGTCCAGAAAGTAATGCAAAGAGACAGGCTATGCTGCCTGGTGCCAGTGACTTTCTAATAAGGCACTTCATGTAGTTGCAAACTGGAACATTGTTACCCTGAAGGCAAGCAGGACTGCCCTCCTGGGAAGTGGCCGTCATTGCCAGTACACAGGGTAGCAAAGAACTTGCCAGATTCCTCTCCACTTACCTCATTGTCATCTAACACTACATTGCAAAATTTCACTTCAGCTGTCTAACGAGGCCCTGCTCTCCAGTGAAAACCTAGTCAAATTATTTTTAATTGGCAGTTTGAATGATCCTATATGTAGGTAGGGTGCTTAACCCGGTGACAGTCAAGCTCTCTTTCCAAGTCTTCCGCTTGCCTCTAGTTTCTTGAGGAGTTTTCAGCCCTGCTCCAGCAATACCATCTCCATTTGCTCCCTTTGCCTTTCTAAACATTATAACACCCAGTTTTGCACTCAGACAAAAATGGAGCAGATAATTCCACTTAGCCTAAACGTGCCAACAGCGCAATGCCAGATAGGCAGAAGTGGGGCTTATTTAGAGTGAATTTTGCCATGGCTATGCACTTAATCCAAGTATGACCAACACAGGTCTTGAGACTTGGAAATAATATGAGTTTTGGAACAAACAAACACTGCAATCAGTTTACTGGGTTCCAGCAAGTCCTTTTTCCTAGAAACTGGCCTCTTAGCAGGATGTCCAAAAGACATGCTTAGGCATAGAAATCACAACTCGAACTCTTGAGCAAGAAGAACATGATTTAGTGTGCAAAAGGAGACAAGAATCCCATTCCTCGCTGTGCTCCCAGTCTGCCGTGCAACCTCAGACAAGTTACTTCACCCTTTGTCAGGTTTTCTGTTTTTTATTTAGACAGAAACCTCTGTGAACGCTTTTTCAAAAATGTTTGTATCAAGCCTAGCTGGGCCTCAGACTCAGTTTTCACTACTGAAACAGAGAGGCATAAAGACCCCTAAGTGCGCTGCGGCAGAAAACCTTTCCAGTGAGAGATGCCTTGAAAGGTCTGCAATGATACAAGCAGGAGGCTTCAGAGGATTTAAATGTAAGTCATGGAATGAATTTCACACTGGCTATGATGTCCTTCATCCTACTAAAGTAGCACATCAGAAAACTTACCTAACAGAGAACAGCAAGGTACTTGAAAAGAAATACGGGTTATATGACGTAATTGTGTACAACCTGTATGAAACTAAAGTGGGTCAGCTAATGCCTACCAAGCTTTCCTTTCTGGGTATACCTTTATAAACACACTACTGCCTTACAGACAAAACAGCTGAAAAGCAGAAGTACCAATTGCACACAGCAAGCAATCCAAAGATGTATGTAGGGGGTAAGAAGAGGGAGTGATCCAGCAGTCCCTGTTCATATGGTGTTTGCAGTGAGCTCCAGACCAAGCCCTCCTAAAGCCTCCTTGCAAGATTCTTGAACTACAGCAAAACATTAGGAGTTTAGAGAACTTCTAAAGATCCCTCATAGGATGGAAATGGCTTACTATATAAAGATCACCTATTTCAGGAAATGAAAGTAATTTAGAAATTAACCAACCCACTGTAACAAAATACATGTGCAGAATCTAATTAAGTGGTAGAATTAATAGCCATTGTTTTATCCTGAGCAACGGCAGGGATCCCAACCAGTGGCCTGAAATGCACTGCTGGCTCTCTGCATAACAGTTATTCAGCAGATATTAAGTTAAAATTACTCACGACAATATAGCAAATGTGACCAGCGTGATCGTCAAGCAGAAGATGGACAGAGCACACCCAATGTAAGTGATGGAGGAGAGGGCCACCTGGTGTTCTCTCGTTAGCTGTACACAAAGGGAAAAAACCCCACAAAATAAAAGCTGTTAATTGATTTATTACACTACAGGACCACAGGTCAGCCCCCCCGCATATAGCAGTTCCTTCTCCATCTGCCCATATATGCACTTATATTCACAATTATTCGCTGCATTTCTAACACAGGAAATTAAGAGCCAACTCAGCCACACAGCCAGAGCGTCTACATGCCACTGGCATTTTGGTTCTCTCTTATTTCATTAATCAGGATTTCCTCGGAATAAGTTGGTCTCTCTGCTGCTGTGATACTATCAAGCTGAGATTAGAGCAGTTTATTGGCTGAACAAAAGATGTCAGCAATGAGATCTTTCACAACTCACAGGGCACTTTGCTAATGCTCTCATGCTGCAATAATTTACATCACTGTGCAAATACCAGAAGTGCTTCACAGCAGTGAGAACTGACAAACTAAGATAACCCATAAATCACAGGCCATTTATAGCCCACTTGTTTTGTTTAAAGTGTCATGTTTTTGGTGCCTGTTGAAGGAGCTGGACTGACATCTACAGAATGGAAGACCACAGAAAAGACCCAGCATGGGCAGAGTGTAAGCTTCTTGTCTCAGCCTCTGCTTATATCTACAAGCACCTTTTGTAGAAGTAATTCAGTTTTCATGAACGTTTCATCTGCATAGTGCCCACCACTAGGATCTATGTTACAACCTGGACAGATTTGGGGCAGGGTCAGGGGATAGGACACAGTGTGCTTTGAATATTCATCTTCAATTAATCAGAAAGTCTGCTTTAATTTTCCATGCAAGTTCTCATAAAAGAATGACAAAAAAGCCACACCCAAACAAAGGGAGCCAGGCAGTATTAATGCATAATAAGGAGAACAGAGATAGGCAGGAAAAGTTTCGTCACCTCAGAAGAATTTTCAGACATTTTTCCTGAGTTGAATCTGGATGGAATTGACATTTTCATAAACTGAACATTAAAAAAAGAAGTGTTCAATCAAAATGTTCTAATGTTGTTGGTTTTATTTCAGCGTATCTGCTATAAATTAAATTCATAGCCGAAACCTCCCTCAAAATATATATTTATTATGAAAAATACTGAAAGGAAAAATGTATCTTCCAATTTTTTTTTACAGTAACTAATAAAAAGTAATCTTTTCTCGTTGTTTTGGATTTTCTATTATTTTACACACACACAATAAAAATTCCCCCCTAAACAATTCCATTAATCAAATCCAACCATTTCTAGCAATAAACATCCCATTAAAATTCCTTTTAAAGGACAGAAATGACATGCCATGTAGTATGAGGAAAAAAATCTTTTCAATTATAGACAAAACTGATGTGTTGTAAATATACATTTTCCTGGTAATTATCTGCCAATGGTACCAGCTCACATGCAGGAAGTTTTACAGCAGAATATGGACCGTGGCTCGCTCAGCAATCAGAACTACTAAGCGATGCACCAGCAGCACTGAAAGACAACTGTTGCTATGGTGTTATAGTTCCTAGGAAATATGATGCAGCTCTTCAGTATTTTTTCTCTTTCAGCCAAACTCACATTTCTTTTCCCTGACTTGGATAGCATCAATTACAGAAAAAGTGTTCTGTGTGCTGGACCAGCTTAAAAGGTCCATATAATTTCCACAAAAGAGTTCCCATCACCCCTCATTCCCTAGAGATCCCCGAAACAGGAATAATTTGTGTGGTAAATTGTGCAGTTTCAAAGTTATTTCCTCATCAGAGATATTCAAGTCCAAAACGCACGGACCTTATTTCCTGATTTCTCCCATACACATCCCTTTCTCCTGTGACAGGTGGCTTGTAGTTCTACAGAAGGAGGAGGGAAGCAGAGGAAGCTTTTCCAGCTTCAAGTCACTCTGAAATCAGTTATTTCTCAGCAGTTCAAAGCTTTCTTTCACTCCTTTAGCCCTCAACATATGCACCCAGAAAATGTTCCCTACAGAGGTCAAAGCTCCGCAGTACTCATTTAGATTTACACTGGTCTATTACAGTGTTTGCACTGGCAAACATGGGCAAGATCTCCAAAGGAAAGTTAATGCTTTACTACCATATACAAGTACGAAAAATACAGGGGATCCATCTCATGGAAATGGGCAAAATTCAAAGCCTTTGGGGTTTTCTTCCCATAACAATCCAATAGAAGACAACAATCACACAAACAACTTTTTTCTGACTAATTTCTGTCATAACTAAAATGCCTCTAAGAATGTCTTTCTCTGGTTTTTAGCTCAGTCTTCCTCCAGAAACCCCTGCAGGGCAAGACAACACATCCATCAGGTTCTCCCAAGTGGAGCCTGTATTACTTAGAAATGGAAAAGGGGGGAGGGAAACCCAGCCCTCTAATCAACAATATGCAGAAGATTCATTCAAATCTAAAATAACCTATATGGGTTCCCACAACTATGAACTCAAGAAATGGCTCTTGCTATGGTAAACACAACCAAAATCTGATGATGCTGAAGCAATTTGTTTTACTAAGGAAAAGATGGATCCTGCAACAGCTGTCATGTTGGAGGGCACGAGAGAGTGGTCCCTGTTCACCACTGCTCCAGCCAGTGAAATCATCTCCTTTCTGCAGGTGATGGGAATTGTGGAGGGAAGGATACAGCATGAAAAGAAGGCCTGGAATGATTTCCAGGGGGTGGAGCCTCATTTTTAAATACAGGTATATGGTGCAAGAGAGAAGAGAACCTGTATTTATAATATCAGGTCTCAGTACTAAGTTCCCACAACCCGTTACAGGCCAGCTGGATGTTGTGTGCCTATGTTCACACTGTAAGGGTTAACAGGCATGCAGGTTTTTAGAAATACCTAGCTTGTCAAAGCATCTGATACGAGCTGATTTCATCTTCTCTCAGCTTTTCTTTTTGAAAACTGGAATATGAGACAGTAATTAGGTATGATCTTGTAGTCATCACAAAAATGCTAATCAAGCTGAAATGCTATTACTAAAGAAAACAGCATTAGAAAGTACCAAATAAAACATTGAGCAATCTGTGAAGTAGTCCCATGAGCCAGATTCTCACACTTGTTCCAATCTATATTAAATTACTCTTCTAGAAGGTTTTGCTTCTTTGAGTTTAGATGGTCTCTTACTCTGCAGTAAGCTGAAAAGCAGGGAAACGAGCTCATGGAATCATGACTGCTAGTAATCATGAATACTAAAACCGGGATGTTTCTTAGTTTCAGCTTTAACAAAGTCAGATCAAAAATTAATATGCCATATAACACTCCCACCCTTCCAGTTCAGGGTGTAACACCCTTTACACCTTGCTAGTGTCACTAATAGCATGGGCAAAGATCTGATGGTTTCAGAAGTTACACCCATCTGCAGTATTATCACCTATTGTCTCACCCTTGTTCTTCCTCATAAGAGAAGTTAGCACATTTGCTTAACATTTTTACCTTGGAAAGTTGCAGGCAACCAGATGGCCTGAAAAAATGATTCTGGAAATATACCATTTCAGACTTCAAATATGTGTTTTTCCTTTATGACTCTGTTAATAACAAGGAGAATAGTGACATCCAACTCCTCTGTTTAACCGCACAAGAAGAGCAACATAGGCTTCTCTACTCAGTGTCCCCTTCTTTTGTGTGAAATCTGCACTCCTGCCCCTTTTCCTCATCAGTCATCTCTCAGGCAATTGACTGCATGTTTTCTGCTTTGCCAAGGGGGCACTTTTGGCTCCCTCCAGAGGAAAGGACATTTTAGGGAACTACTAATCTAAGATTTTCTTCTTTGCATACTGCAAAATATCCCTCTATGTCTGCTTTTGTAGAGGCAACACGTCAGACAAAGGGCTGAGTTCAAACACGTAAACCAAGGTTTGCCACAGCTGATCCTGCAAGGGTTTGTCTGTATACCAAATTACAACTTCACAATTTTAGCTATCAAAAGCAGTAATTTCATTGTCTACACTACTTTTGAAAACTCCTTTGTGAAAAGCAATTCATCTTTTTCCAGAAAAAGACAAGCTTTTGAACCAAAACCTGTTCTACAGTCTTAAAAAATGAGCCCTGCAATCTTAGGACGTTATTGTACCTATCGTTTGTATTTTAGTGTTACTTACCAGTAGAACACAATGTATTTTTGCATGTGCTTATATAGTGCATACACTTTATGAAACCAGAGTTATTTGTTTACTGCTAGAAATGCAAGACATGACAATTGTATTTTACTCTAAGTCCAAATATAAGAGAAAGTTCTATTTTAATGTCCCTTTCGGTCAGCTTTCCATCTCAGAAAACATTCCTACCATGAAGTTACTTATAATGACATATGGATTTTAACCGGTTTGTCAGGCTGGCTGAGATCTGCCATGAGATGACCACCCACTGCCCTTGGCTGAAATCCACTCTCAAACCCATCCGCAAAGCCTTGAAACAATATATTAGGAGACATTTTTTGGAGGGAGGGAAGAAAGAAGAGGTAGGGGGTGAAAAATTAAGGCTCAGTCAACCCTACCCCACCTTTAAGATGCAGTCTGAATCCAATTAAGAAAAGGATGAATAATTAACTTTGGCAGCCAGAGTGCTTCGAGACATTAAAAAGCTGTCCTTGGCTGATGAAGCTAATGGTTTTAATTGCCTCCAGAAAGGCTGCTGAAATTCAATTTCAGTCCAGTGAGGCTTTTATTTATATATTAAACAATAACAACAATACAAATCTCTGTTTTCCTTCAGCTTGCCAAGCACTTTTTTAGGTACATAACAGTATGTTTCTTCAAATTAACATCTGTGTTTAGTTCAGGAGGCTCAGTCTACACACTGAGATCACCGCAAGGATTTTGGCAGGGTCATACCTAACAGCACCACACAATCACTGCTCTCAGGGGGGGAAAATAACTTGATTCAGAGTCTTCTTTTCTCAAGCCACAATGTATCAGATACCGCAAGTTTAGAGAAAAAAGGCCTCTCCGAGTCACGCTTTGCAGCACAATCACCTTTATCAGCCATTTCCAGCAGAAATGCTTTTGAATTCCCATTCTC